AAATATGATATGCAATACATCTTATTGATAAAATATTTGGGAATGTAGAGGTGACAATACGTTTGGCAGCCATCATAGCAGCCTCAGCATCTGTTACTATAGCTGTAAATTTTTCAGGACCCACTTGTTCCAATATATGAATAATTTTTTCAGCATTAAAATTGCTTGTATGACTATGGGAAGAATAATCTTCAATTGAATAGATGTATTGCTTTCTATCTGGTAACAAGATAACAAAAGAATATATACTTTGTTTAAGTGGTGAAGACCAACCATATGTAAATATTGAATTATTAAAAGTTTAAAAAAAAAATAAAAATTTTTAAAAAAATTACATTGACAAATAAATTAATAAATACACATACATAAGGTAAGATTTGTAGCATTTTTTAAAATATTATCTATTTTTAATGTAATCCTTGCAATTTCTGAATTCAATAATGACTCAGATAAAGTTGTTCTATGTGGTGGATTGTAACCATAACAAAGAGATTTGGTAAAGTCAATAAAAAATGGTGAATCTGCTGCTACAAATGGTATCCCAGAACAAACAAACCACCGAATCAAAGCTTGATTTACACGTTTTATTTTAGCATCATCAATTCCATCCGAGTCAAAATAAGTGTTAATTTTTTTTTGATTATTCTTAGTTTTGATTTTTTTATTTGGATGTGTTGTAGTTGTTGATATTGGAGTAGATGTAGTTTCAGTATCCTCAATCTCCTCCTCACTAATCATATGTAAATATTCAATACGTATTTCTCTTGGTATTCTAGCTTTGCAATGAAGTGCTAAATGTGTTTTTAAAGCTTGTGGTTTTCCTCGTTTCCATGAAGTTGAGCAGAATGTACAAACAGCACCTTTGTGTGTTCTATGATTATCATCAATAGAAGTAAAGTATTGCCAAACTTTATCTTTTGGATGACCATTAATATTAATAATTGTATTATTGTGACTGTCCAAAATTTGATAAAATTCATTGTCATTATTAGACATATGACTTCCTTGATTGTTTTCTGCAACACTATTGTTACCAAATTTGAACAAATAAATTAATAAATATAATATATTCCAATGAATCAAATTAGTGATAATATATATAACAAATACCTTGCTAGTTCGGAATTTGATGAATTTGACATAATTCTTAGTAATAAATATTCGTGATAAAATTACATTAGGTGTAATTCAACAAAAAAAAAACCAAACTTCAATTTAAATATAAATTTATCACTAATGCAATAAATAAATGAATTATTATTATTAATTATAAATGTAATTCAACACAAGAGAAATAAAATGTAAAAGAAAGCTCACCTACAAACATTAAAAATTTTCCTTTATTATTACAGCAAAAGAAAAAAATTATTTTTTTATTATTACACAACTGATCAAATTTAGAACACATGACTTTTATTTGGGATTTGGGATTTGAACATTTTGGGATTTGGGATTATTTGGGATCATTTGGACATTTGGGATTTGGGACGGCTTTGGGATTTGGGACGGCTTTGGGATTTGGAACAGCTTTGGGATTTGGAACAGCTTTGGGATTTGGGACAGCTTTGGAATTTGGGACATTTTTGACAATTTGGATTTTTGAGAGTAAAAGTCCCAAATAGTTTTAACCTATTTGGGATTTGGGATTTGGGACTGGGTAGTACTTTGGGCAGCAAGTATAACTAGAATAGTGGGTTTTGGATTAACTATTACCACTATCGTAAAAACAGCCTTATGGATGGGATGTGTTTATGCCTAAGAAAGCTGAAGGTAATAATAATTTAATGGATTAAATGGACTCCTACATTGATAAATGAGTATACAAATCAGTAAATAATTAATTT